AACTGAAATTTTAGTAAGTTCATAAAGCAGAGACACAAATAGAGAAAAATTAGGGACCCAAAGTCTGCATAACCAGCTAGGCTCAGAAATCCACGAAGCTCTTTCTTAGTTGTAGGCCTAGGAAATTCTTCAATTAACTTAACTCTTTCTGGAGATACCTGGATGTCTTCAGCGCTTAGGTTCTGACCTATGTCATGAACAGTGTCCAAAAATAACTGGAATTCTGTTTAGAGACTTTATGTCCTTTTTCAGCTAAGTGTTGCAGCAAATAAAGGGACTCTTTTACGGGTGCCTCTTTGGTAACTGAGCGTGGCAAGAGGTTACCCACATATCGTAAGAGGGTCAATTTCCCGGGGGAACTGGAGGGCGCTTAGACCTTGACGGAGTGCTTGGGAAAAATAAGAAGGGGCCTCAGTGAACCTTTGGGGCATGACTGTCCAGGTATATTGTTGATTATTCCAAGTAAAGGTGAATAAATATTGACTGCAGGGTCTCCAAGGATGCTGACAAAGGCTGAGCAGAAGTCTATAGCACTGAACCATCTTAAATGTGGCAGACCTTGTGTTAAAAGGGTTTGGAACAACTGGGAAACAGGGAATGACTGTCTTGTTACTAGCGCTTAAGTCTTTGATAAATCACCACGCCCTCCCATCAGGTTTCCGGACTGGCGAGACCAGTGCGTTACAGGGTACAGGGAAGGACTAATTCCTGGGCAATTAGGTCTTTATTATTGATGTGAGGCCTTGTATGGCTTCAGGCTTTAATGGATATTGAGGCCATTACCGAAGAGGTTTAGTCACATCTATCTGAATTTTTATAGGCTCTGCATTTTTTATTTTCCCGGTGTCAGTATTAGAAGTAGCCTACTGATTTTCAGGCACCTCGGTTACATTAGGGGATCTTTGTCGGAATTCTTCTTCTATACCAAAGACAGACTGTAAAAACGTCAGAGATCAGGTTCGGGTTGATCAGGAAATTCTAAGGTGAGCAAAGCATATTTAGCTCTTTTAATTTAGAAAGGAGATCTCTGCCTAATATATTCACTGGGGCTGGGTCACAGCAAAAAAGAATGCTTTTCGGTAAAAGGTCCCAGAGCCACTTGTACTGGTTGAGATAGAAATTCTTCCTGAACTTTATTAGATACCCCCTCTATGGAAACCTTTTTTTCATTCTAAGAGATTTCTGAGAGTGGGATTTAAAGTAGGAAGTATAGCCCTGGTATCTACCAGAATTTGGTAAGATTTTCCATTAATTTTCATTTTAATTTCCTCTTGGCTATTTAAGGGTAGCAGTTTACCTGAGGGTCCCTCAGAGCTGCATCAGTCCTGGGAGTGGCCATATGGGGGCCCTCCCTTGGGGGCATTTGAGTGGATATTTAGGAATTTGCAGAGGATCTTTGAGGACAATCTTTTTTCCAGTGCCCCAGTTGATTACAAAGGAAACATTAATCCTTGGGCCATGTTTTGATGGTGGACCCCTAGGAAGGTGCTGTGTGGGGAAACCAGGTATTATTTTAGGTCTCTGGCCTTGGAGCTATTGTAGCTGTAAGGCCATAGATTGAAGGACCTTTATGATGTTGGTCCAAAATCCTTTCAAAGTGTTCAGCAGGAAAAGATGAGTTTTCACATAACGAAGGACAGAGGGGAGAAGTGGGAGGCATGCATCAGTCTTAAGTTTTCTAATGAAGCTATTTTGGAATCTTGAAGCCTTTGGGGAGCTCTGCAGACCAATTAAAGCAAGTATCCTGTTCTGTTTAATTCAGAAAACAATAGTTTCAAGCGCACTTCTTAAATGAAGGACCATGACTAATTGGAACATTCCCCAGACTGGGCATTGTAATCCTAGGTTGTTTTTGGTAAGATTTTGCCATTTTTGTAGATAGCTTCGGGGACCATAGTTTTTAAACATAAAATAAGCAGATGTGCCAGAAGGTGGCGTGCTTGACTCTTTAGAATTGAAGAATTCCCTAAACTAAGCCTTTGGGTTTTTTAAACCTAAAGAGATGCACCGCTGGGTTGGGGATTGTGCGTGTTTTGCAGTGCACCTTGTTGCACGGAAGTTTTCTTGAGGTTGGCGGGTTACCTACTGTCGATCTAACCTGTTCCGTGGTCAACTTGTCTTTGATTTAGCTGTCGATCACTCTAACAGCCTTTATATGCTTAACCTGCAGCCACCAATTTTTGCAGCTTTTTGGCCTCTGAGATCCCCGCTAGCAATAGCCTTTATTTACATAAAACGAGACAAAGGTGCACGTTGACACACCAGCAGTGACCAAGAGATGCTACTGTGACCTGGCTAAGACAAGGCCTGTGCATCCCAACAATTTCTGTGGAACCTTGGCCTGGGGAAAGGATTGGACCAATGGTGGGGACTCAATGAGTACAGGCTGTGGCCTGGGGGCTCTAATATGAACAGAATTAAGGGCTGGGGTTTTGTTTTTGTTTTTGTTTTTTTGCAGTACGCGGGCCTCTCACTGTTGTGGCCTCTCCCGTGGCGGAGCACAGGCTCCGGTCGCACAGGCTCAGCGGCCATGGCTCATGGGCCCAGCCGCTCCACAGCATGTGGGATCCTCCTGGACCGGGGCACGAACCCGTGTCCCCTGCATCGGCAGGCGGACTCTCAACCACTGCGCCACCAGGGAAGCCCTAGGGCTGGGTTTTTTCTGTTTAAAACCTGGGAATTGTCTGAAAGGCTAAGGGCTTAGCTCAGTTGGCTCTGAGCAGAACCATCTACCAGCATAAGCTGACCTGCCCTGTAAGCCAAATAGATCGGAAGCTCGATGCAAAGAAAGTTCAGAACCAAGAGCGAACTTATTACCCACAGCCCTTGGAAAGGGCAAGAAAGACAGTGAATTCAAAAAGGGGCTCATGGGTACATCACCTGTGTTTTTCATTGTCCCCGAAGCCATCAGAAGTCTCCTTCGGTCCCTCTGCTGCCACCAAACCTGTTAAATAACAAAAACTCAACTGAGTAAATCTTAAAGATCTAATTGGCTTTACTGAATGAATCGGACAGCATCCCATCTAGCAAGTGAAGAGGAACTTTGCTGAGCTGCAGAAAAGGAAAGGGTTTTAAAGGCAGAGAGGGAGCAGGAAAAAAAGGAAATTATTAGCAAAGATGCATTGTTTTAGGCAAGGCCACTCTCCTGAAGGGAATGGAAGTGTCTGTCCACAGATTTCCCAGGACTGACCAGGAAATCCCGGGTTAGCTGGAATCACATTCCTGGGGAAGGTTGTAACTGTAATTAGCTTAGGCATCAAGTCTTGGTCTGCTGCCATGGGACCACAAGTGACTCCATCCGGGGCCTGTTGTTTCCTTTTTAACAAGGGGCAGAGGTCGTTTGGTCCACCTGACTGCAGGGGCGCATCCTGGTAGACGCATGATTGGGGACAGCGTGAAGAAAAAGGGCAGTGGGCCGGGCAGACACCTGAAGGGTAGCAAGGTATTATTGTCATGCAAGGAAGGAAATACACCAAATTTTTAACAATATTTATCACTGGATGACTGGATCATGATGGTCTTTATTTTATGTATGCTATTTTATGTCGTGCAAATTTTCTAAAACACACTGTGTGTTTTTATTTTTTTAATTTTTATGTATTTTTTGGCTGCACCACGTGGTTTGTGGGATCTCAGTTCCCCGACCAGGGACTGAACCCATGCCCCTGACAGTGAAAACGCAGAGTCCCAACCACTGGACCGCCAGGGAATTCCCACAATGTGTATTTTTAGGATCAGGAGAAAAGTGGGTTTTGTTTTGTCTTTTAATATATAACATGTATTGAGTCCTGTCTCTGTTATGTGCCAGCTTGTTGAGTGTGGGAGATGCAAAGCTGAATGATTAATGGACATTCTCTGTCTTCAGTGAGCCTACTTGTGCCGACTGCCCCTTTCTTGTGTTTATACTTACCTGCGAAGACCTCGCGAGATTCTAAAGGGTTTCTGCCCCCAGTGTCATTAAGTTATGTAGCTCTGAACTCCAGTAACGACTGTAGTCCAAACTATGCGATTTAGTTGTGATTATATGTATTTGTTGGTTCTTAAATTGTTTCAAATGAATGTATCTCTTCTTCCGAAAAAAGACTGTAAGTTTTTTTTTGAAGATAAAACAGTCTTAATATTTCTTTAATATCCCTCAAGTTGACTAGACAGGTATTCGTTATGAGCAATAAATATGAGTTCGCTGGTTAAAATTCACTTCGCGTCACCAAAGAACTAACGTTCCCATAACTGCCGTTATTTGTCTCTCATGGATCTGTTTACCTAATATTTAAATGGCCAGTTCTTCCCCCACTTTTATGAAATTAGCCTTAATTCCCCTTTCACCATGCACACTTCCTTCATCTTCACATTTTGACTAGCCAGCGCTCATGGTTTTATGAGCATAAGTGTCTGTTTCAGCTAAGAATCTGGATAGACCACAAAATCATATGTTTCTTCTTTCCTATACATAGGGAATTCTATCCCTAAAATTGTGACATATGGTCTTTAAATGAGTTTTTGTGGCTTTTACTATGGCTGGGGTTACATTCCGTTTTGAAAGCTTTTCCCGTGGTTCCATCTGAATACAATCTTTGAATCTCATGGGAGAGGTAACACTGATACAGTGTGAAGCCAGAAAGACTAAGATTTGGATCTCAGCTCAACTGATGGTGGGACCACTTCCGCACCAATACCTTACCTCTCTGAGCCTCAGTTTCCTTGTATGGAAAATGGGAATCATTAACACCTGCCCCTTGATGTGAAGATTAAACATGTGTGCCACGCCTGCCACAGAGGTGATCAGTAAACATTCCCTAAACCGATGAAAGGGAAAGAAAGTAAAGTACTATCAGAAAAACACCCTCATAATTGTGTCTGTCCCAAAGGGCAGTGAGAGTCCTCGGTCAAGGATGCACAACTCCTTTTAGAGTCAAATTACTCGGGCAAAGGTCAGCCCCTCCTTCAGTTGAAAAGCTGGGGGCAGGGCTTAACAAGGAAGTGACTCCCTTCCCTAAGCCTCCTTCCAGCCTTAGTCCCAACCTGAAGAGGCTACACCCGGGTGGAGTCTTACATCACAAGAGCCTTCCAAAATGAGAAGCCAAGAAGACTTGGCCAAAGTTTCCTCTTAAGTTTCGTGGAGAGAGACTCAGGTATAGAAATATCCTTCCTGCCGCCTGACCCGAAGCAGGAGAAACTGCTGACAGCTTGGAGACCAGGTAATACTAGGAGACACCAGTCTTCACGTTCAGCCTTCCCAGCAGGACACAGGGGACTTCAGTCCTGGTTTTGCTAATGAGGCAATCTAACGGGGGTTAGTAAACCTAACGTGTACGGCATTTATTTAAACGTTCTGATCGTGTAAGTCTCAGGAAGCAAAACTAAGAATCTAAAACTGAAAGCTAACATCTACTTTATTAGGGGTTTCCAGAAAAGGGAGAAGTATTTAGGTTTCCCTTTCATTTCTCCTTTGCTCCAGAAGGTTTGGGAGGGTTAAGAATACAAAACTGGCCGAATCATTGTTAACATTATGCAGGTCTGTCTCATTGAGTATGTAGCAAGGTATGTGATAGTGTGACAGAAGCCCATTGAAATGCCAGCTACCTCCCCCAGAGCAGAAATGGGCTGAGGACAAGAGTCCCTGGCTTTGAGCCCTGAGTACCTGTGGGCACTTGGGCACAAGATCTAGTCCCGGCAGACCCCCTAGAGACTTCCTTGAGTACAGGGCGCAGGTGAAATGGGGAATACCCCCCCGCAGGAGGCTCCCTCCTGAGTTCCCTGCCTGCTCTGTTCTATAATCATCAAAGCCTGAGTCTTTGTGTTTCATTAATAAGACCTGAGGCGCTCTCTGTTTAGCTTCTATTGTAGGAATTTAACACGTTTTACCTCATTCCTCATTTTCACCCTTAGGATTAAAAACCACAGGGGAGGAGGGATGAAGACACCATACGGTGAAGTTCAGGGAAGGAAGGGGAAGGGTGGACCGCCTCTGAAGGGCGTAAGGGGGCAAAGGGTGCAGAAGGAGAGGCCCAAGGCAACCGGACAAAACTCAGCTCAAAATCTGGCCTGGGAACATCCCTCTGGGATGAGTGTCCTCACCCATGTCTTACACTCAGGCCTTGTCTGTGTGTCCAGAGTGATGGAAGTCAGCTCTCTGGCAGAGCCTGTTGCTAAGGGGTCCTCCACGCCCCTCCCCCCCCGGGACAGGCCGGAGCAGAGTTCCGTCCAGGGCAGAGTTCCGTCCAGCTTCCTGGGGCCCTGGTGGCCACAGCCTCTGTGCATGCATGAGGGCTGTTTGCTCCGTGACCTGCCACAGGAAGGGAAGGAAAATCTAACCTCGACCAATGAATCCAGAACCAGAAAAATCCCTAAAGTGTGTCCTGTGATCTTGGAGGTCATATGCTGCTCCGCAGGCCAAGGAGTGCTGCTCTGCGGTGCTCCCAGGAGACTAGCCACCAGGGACTCCGAGGACTTTAGCCATTTAGGGGGTTGGGGGGAAGAAACCCTTCGAGAGGGAAGAGAGGCCACCATAGACACTGTGAAACCTTGCTTTCGGGGAGTAGGTCTGTGAGAGTTTGCTGTAGATACGCAAGAGGGTATGTAAATACTGGATCCAAAGGGTAGGGCTGTGTGCAGAGTCACTGAATTACAATGAGCCTCACAGGGCTTATTCCGGGGCTAATTTTCCACTCCAGGCTCTGAACCTACATTCTGGGGCCTCACCCAGGGCTTCATTTCCATCAACATAAGCATAAAACTTACCTGTACGTTTCCATTAACCCAGAAGTTGGGCTGCTTCTACTTTGAACCCGAACAGCTGAGAGCAGAAGGGCTGCAGTGGTAATAAAGTAACTCACTGCTGCTTTAAAATAAGACTTCATTATCAATGTAACAGCTCTCCCGTCATTCCCAGTGAGGATGAGTAGGAAAAATACCCTACGCTTGTCAAGTGCCTTGAAAGTGTCTGAACTCATCCTTTGACGCAGCTGCAAGCGCTCGCCGGGGCTGGTCAAGGTCCCCTTGGTCCCGGGGAATGCCTGAGCACTGCCCTGCCCTCTGCTTCTCTCTCGCCCTTGGCCTTGCCTCCTGGTTGGGCCCTCAGCTCCTTTCTAGCCTGGGAGACGGCAAAAATCTCTTCTTTCACGAAGTGGAAGCGCTGTGCGCTCCATCTTGACCTCTGCTTTCCCCCCTTTTCGGATGTTGCTCCTGAATCAGCAATTAGCAAACTCGTTTCTTTTTTCTCTGTTTTTCTGCTGTAAGCGGGCCTCTCACTGTTCCGGCCTCTCCCGTTGCGGAGCACAGGCTCCGGACGCGCAGGCTCAGCGGCCATGGCTCACAAGCGCAGCCGCTCTGCGGCATGTGGGATCTTCCCAGACCAGGGCACGAAGCCGCGTCCCCCGCATCGGCAGGCGGACTCTCAACCACTGCGCCACCAAGGAAGTCCAGCAAACTCGTTTCTTAAAGAAGTCGGACCCTTCCTCTCTCTCCAAGAGCAGCGCCCCCGCCCCCCACCCACCCCCCACAATTTTAAAGTCTTCACACTGCATTAGAAAGGTTTGGTTGGTTGGGTTGCCTTAAACTGACACGGTTTCTTCGGAGCGTAGTCCTGTGGCTGGGAGAGGGCTCCCCCGCTACCAATGCAACGACTCCTCGAGGACCCGCGGGTACCTCCTGCCTACGGGGTGCCCTGAGCTGCCCAACTCAAAAGGACGCTCTGAATTAAAACCCGCCTTAAACGCCCTCCCGGCGCTGCTCTCGGACTGGGTTCAGGCACTTCCGCGCCGCGTTGGCAGCGCCCGAGTCCCGACCGCGTGTCCCGCTCTTTCTCTCGCGTGACTTAGGTCGCTCAGGCTCCACCCTCGGTCCACTTTCCTCGCTTCCAAGAACCTGAGGTCTCAGTTTTTCTAAGCAGCACCTTTTATTCACCGAGTTGCCAGGTTTGCATAAAAATACAAGAGGCCCTGGCCCTGTTCGGTATGAATTTCAGATAAACAACAGATACTGTGTTTTAGTGTAAGCATGTCCCATACAATACTTGGGACACACTTACACTAAAAAATTATTTGTTATTTACCTGACATTCAAATTGACTAGCTCTCCCATATTTCATCTGGCAGCTCTATATCATGTTTCTTTCATTCATCAAATATTTCCCGAGAGCTTATCAGGTGTCAGGCATTATATGAGGTGCTGGGAAAGCCAGCCAAGTCCCAGGCTTCATATCTTACAAGTATGTATACTTTATGCACACACACCCATACACACATACTCTCTCTCTCTCTCACCCTCTCTCTCTCTCTTTCTCTCTCTCTCTCTCTCTCTATATATATCAAGTGTGAATGTTGTGCTAAACCAAATATTTGCATGTCATTAATTTTCTTAATTGCTGCTTTTGATGAATTTTCTTTTATAAACATATTAAACCTTACAAGAAAGGCAACCTATTAAGATAGTTGTGTTTTTTTTTTGGCTGTGCCACAGGATGGCATGCGGGATCTTAGTTCCCCAACCAGGGATCAACCCGCGCCCCCTGCAGTGGAGGCGTGCAGTATTAACCACTGGAATACCAGATTAAGTCCCCTATTTTTTTTTTTTTTTTTTTTTTTACGGTACGCGGGCCTCTCACTGTTGTGGCCTCTCCAGTTGCGGAGCACAGGCTCCGGACACGCAGGCCCAGTGGCCATGGCTCACAGGACCAGCCGCTCCGCGGCATGTGGGATCCTCCCGGACCAGGGCACTAACCCCTGTCCCCTGCATCGGCAGGCGGACTCTCAACCACTGCGCCACCAGGGAAGCCCAGAAGTCCCCTATTTTAATGAATAAAGACGCTAATATTTACTGAGCATTTAAAATCTACCATGCACTACTTTAAGTGATTTACACGTGCTAATTTTTTTTTGCCCACACACCTATGTGATGGGGGGAGGGGTTGTTTTATGGGTTTTTAAAAAAATTTTTATTGAGGTATAGTTGATGTATAATATTACATAAGCTTCAGATGTATAACATAGTTATTCACAATTTTTAAAGGTTATACTCCAGTTATAGTTATTATAAAATACTGGCTATATTCCTTGTGCTGTACAATATATCCTTGTAGCTTATTTATTTTATACCTAATAGTTTGTACCTCTTAATCCCCTACCCCAATCTTGCCCCTTCCCCTTTCCCCTCCCCACTGGTAGCCACTAGTTTCTTCTCTATATTTGAGTCTGTTCCTTTTTTGTTATATTCATTAGTTTGTTGCATTTTTAAGATTCCACATATAAGTGGTATCATACACTATTTGTCTTTCTCTGTCTGACTTATTTCACTTAGTATAATATCCTCCATGCTGTTGCAAATGGCCAAATTTCATCCTTTTTTATGACTGAGTAGTATTCCATTGTGTGTGGGGGGGGGCATATGTGTAGTACACATACATTTACGTAGTACACATACATTTATCCATTCATCTGTTGATGGACACTTAGTTTGCTTCCATATCTTGGCAATTGTAAATAATGCTGCTATGAACATTGTGGTGCCTGTATCTTTTTGAATTAGTGTTTTTGGTTTTTTCAGATATATACCCAGCAAGGCAATTGCTGGGTCATATGGTAGATCTATTTTTAGTTTTTTGAGAAACCTCCATACTGTTTTCCACAGTGGCTGCACCAATTTACATTCACACCAACAGTGTATGAGAGTTCCCTTTTCTTGACATCCTCACCAACTTATGTTACTTGTAGACTTTTTGAAGATAGCCACTCTGACAGGTAAGAGGTCATATCTCATTGTGGTTTTGATTTGCATTTCTCTGATGATAACGATGTTGAGCATATTCTCCTGTGCCTGTTGGCCATCTGTATTTCTTCTTTGGAAAAATATCTATTCAGGTCTTCTGTCCACTTTTTAATTGGGCTGTTTGTTTGTTTGATATTGAGTTGAAATGAGCTGTTAATTCTGTATGGGACTCTGCACTTCCTGGACTAGGATGTCTGTTTCCTTTCCCAGAGTAGGGAAGTTTTCAGCTATTATACCTTCAAATACTTTCTCAGCCCCTTTCTCTCTCTCTTCTCCATCTGGGACCCCTATAATGAAAATACTTGTGTGCTTGATGCTATCCCAGAGGTCTCCTAAACTGTCCTCATTTCTTTTCATTCTTTTTTCTTTTCTTCTGTTCAGCATCAGTGATTTCCACTACTCCGTCTTCCAGCTCGCTGATCCATTCCTCTGT